CTGGTACAAAAAGACACAGGGACAAATGGAACAGAATAGAAAACCCAGAAATAAGATTGCACACCTACAACCATCAGATCTTTGACAAACTTGACAAAAACAATCAATGAAGAAAGGATTCTTTATTTAATAAATGGTGTGAGATAACTGGCCAGCCATATGCAGAAAATTGAAACTGGACCCCTTCCTTACACTATCTGCAAAAATCAATTTTCAAGATAGATTAAAGACTTAAATGTAAAGCCCAAAGCTATAAAAACCATAGAAGAAAATCAGAAAATCTAGGCAATACCATTCAGAATATAGGCATGGGCAAATATTTCACGATGAAGACACCAGAAACAATTGGAACAAATGAAAAAATTGACAAATGGGATCTAGTTAAACGAAAGAGCTTCTGCACAGCAAAAGAAACTATCATCAGAGTGAAGAGACAATTTACAGAATGGGAGAAAATGTTTGCAATCTATCCATCTGACAAAAGTCTAATATGTAGCAGCTACAAGGAACTTCAACAAATTTAAAAGATAAAAACAACTTTATTAAAATGTAAGCAAAGGACACAAGCAGACATTTTTTCAAAAGAAGACATACATGCAGCCAACAAACATGAGAAAAGTTCAGCATCGCTGAACATTAGAGAAATGCAAATCAAAACCACAATGAGATACCATCTTACACCAATCAGAATGGCTATTAAAAATTTAAAAAATAACAGATGCTGGCTAGTTAGTAGAGAAAAAAAGAACACTTTTACACTGTTGGTGAAAGTGTAAATTAGTTTAACCATTGTGGAAGACAGTGTAGTGATTCCTCAGAGATCTAGAGGTAGAAGTACCATTTGACCCAGCAATCTCATTACTGGGTACATACCCAAAGGAATATAAATAATTCTATTATAAAGATGCATGCATGCCTATTTTTAGTGCAGCACTATTCACAATAGCAAAAACATGGACTCAACCTAAATGCCCATCAACGATAGACTGAATAAAGAAAATGTGCTACATACACACCATGGAATACTATGCAGCCACAGAAGGAATGAGATGGTATCCTTTGTGGGGACATGGATAAAGCTGGAGGCCATTATCTTCCACAAACTTATGCAGGAACAGAAAACCAAATACCACGTGTTCTCACTTATAAGTGGGGGCTGAATGATGAGAACACATAGACACATGGTGTGGAACAACACACACTGGGGCCTGTTGGAGAAGGGGGGAAAGGAGGGAGAGCATCAGGAAGAATGGCTCATGGATGCTGGGCTTAATACCTAAGTGATGGGACAATCTGTGCAGCAAACCACCATAGCACATGTTTACCTATGTAACAAACCTGCACATCCTTCATATGTACCCCTGAACTTAAAAAGAAAATAAAAACCATTAGCTTGATAGGCTAATAAAAAAAGAAAGAGGCCAGGCACAGTGGCTCACCCCTGTAATCCCAGGACTTTGCAAGACCAAGGTGGGCAGATCACTTGAGGCCAGGATTTCAAGAACAGTCTAGCCAACATAGCAAAACACTGTCTCTAATAAAAATACAAAAATTAGCCACACATGGTGGTGTGTGCCTGTGGTCCCAGCTACTGGAGAGGCTGAAATAGGAGAATCCCCTGAACCCAGGAGGTGGAGGTTGCAATGAGCTGAGATGTTGCCACTGCAATCCAGCCTTGGTGGCAGAGTAAGGCTCTCTCAAAAATATAAAAATAAATAAAATCAAATTAAAAGAGAAAACACTCAAATTACTAAAGTCAGAAATGAAAGTGGAGATATAACTACCAATGCTACAGAAATAAAAAGGATTTCATGAGAGTATTATGCAAAAATATGTGCCAAAAAATTGGATAACCTCAATGAAATGGATGAATTCCTAAAAAAAATACAACACCTACCTAAAGTAAATCTTGAATAAATAGAATATTTGAATAGACTTACAACTATTAAGGAGATTGAATTAATCATCAAAAATCTCATGACAAAAAAAAAATAATAAAATGCTCTGGAGTTGAGCGCTTCCCTGGTGAATTCTACCAAACATTTAAGGAAGAACTAACACCAACTGTCCTCAAACATTTCCCAAACATATTGAAGAGATGGGAACATTCCTAATTCATTCAATGAGGCCAAGCCTACCCTGACACCAAAGCCAGATAAAGACACTATAAGAAAACAATATCCCTTATGAACATTAATGCAAAAGTTATCAAGAAAATACTAACAAATCAAGTTCAGTAGCACATTAAAAGGATTATATACCATAACCATGTGGGATTTGTTCCTGAGATACAGGGATGGTTCAACATAGGAAAATCAATCAATGTACACTACATTTACAGAATAAAGAACAAAAATTACATCATCATCTCAACTGATGCAGAAAAAGCATTTGAGAAAATTCCACACCCTTTTATGATAAAAAAACATTCAACAAACTAAGAATAGAAGGAAACTACCTCAACATAATAAAAACCGTATATGTAAAACCCCCAGAGATCACCATACTCAAGGCTGAACGACTGAAAACATTTCTTCTAAGATCAAGAACAATGCAAAGATGCTAATTTTCACCACTTCTACTTAATGTAGTGCTAGAAGTTCCAACCAGAACAATTAGGCAAAAAAAAAAAAAAAAAAAAATTAAAAGGCATCCAAATAGGAAAGGAAGAAGTAAAATTATCTCTGTTCACAGATGCTATGATCTTATAAGCAGAAAATCCAAAGATATCACAAAAAAACTTATTAGAACCAATAAATTAACTCATCAAAGTAGCAGAACAGAAAGCCAACATATGAAAATTAGTTGTGTTTCTGTACACTAACAATGAACAAACAAAAAAAGAAATTTTGAAGACAATTACATTTACAATAACATCAAAAAGAACACTTAAGAATAAACTTAAGCAATGAGGCAAAAGAGTTGTACAATGAAAACTACAAAACATTGCTGAAAGAAATTAAAGAGGACAGAAATATATTCCATGCTCATGGATTTGAAGACTTACTATTGTTAAGATGTCCTTATTAACCAAAGCAATCTACAATTCAGGGCAATCCCTATTAAAGTCTGAATGTTTCTTACAGAAATAGAAAAACCCAACCTTAAATTCATATGGAATGTCAAAGGATCCCAAATAGCCAAAACAATCTTGGAGGACTCATGGTTCCTGATGTCAAAACTTACTAAAAGCTATAGTAACCAAGACAATGTAATATTGGCATAAAGACAGGAATATAAACCAATGAAATAGAATAGAGTCCAAAAATAAACCCTTGTTTATATGGTCAAATGATTTTTGACAAGGGTGCCAAACCCATTGGTTGAATGGGGGAATCACATGCAAAAGAATGAAGCTATACCCTTACCTAACATCACATATTAAAAATTAACCCAAAATGGATCAAAGACCTAAAACGTAAGATCTACAGCTAGGCTTAGCTTAGGCAAAAACATAGGAGTAAACTTCTCTGACCCTGGATTAGGCAAGGATTAATCCAATTTCTTTGATTTCTTGGTTGCCAGAGGCAACCAAAGAAAAATAGACAAATTGGACTTCGTAAAAATTTTAAAGGTTTGTGAATCAAGAGAATATCAACATAGTGAGAACTCATCTCTACAAAAAAACTAAAAATTATCTGGTCATGGTGGCATATGCCTGTAGTCCCAGCTACTTGGGAAGATGAGGTGTGAGGATGACTTGAGCTTGGGAGGTTGAAGCTGCAGTGAGCCATGATTGTGCCACTGCACTCCAGCCTGGGCAAAGAGTGAAACCCTATCTGAAAATCAAACACACACACACACACACACACACACACACACACACAGACACGCGCACACACACACACACACACACACACAAAGAATATCAACAAAGTAAAAAGGCAATCCCTGGAATATTTATAAACCAAATGGCTGATAAGGGATTAATATTCAGAATACATAGAGAATTCCTAAAAGTCAACAACAAAATTCAAAAATGGGCAAAGGACTTGAACAGACATTTTTTCAAAGAAGATACACAAATGGTCAATAAGCACTTGAAAAGATGCTTAACCTCACAAATCATTAGAGATATGCAAATCAAAACTAAAATGAAATACTGCCTCATCCCCATTAGGATGGCACCTATGGTTATGTCTTGCTGTCACTTTGAAGAAATTACAGTCAGCCTCTGTTCCCATGGGTTCCATATCTGCAGATTTAACAACTACAGATGGAGAACATTAAAAATAAATAAATAAAACCCAACTGTATCAATAATTTTTTTAAATACAAAAATTTGAATACAGCATAACTGCTCACATAGCATTTATATTGCCTTAGGTATTACAAGTAATCTGGAGATGATTTAGTGTAGACAGGAGGATGTGAGTAGCTTATATACAAATTCTACACCGTTTTATATCAGGAACTTGAGCATCCACTAAAGTATCCACTAGATTTTGGTATCCGCCAGGGCCCTGGAACCAATCCCCTGTGGATACTGAGGGATGACTGTGCAGACAATTCTTGACTTATGATAGTTTGATGTAAGGTTTTTCAACTTTAGATCAGTTTATTGGGGTATTAAATGCATCTTGACTTAGGATATTTCTATTTACAATGGGTTTATCAGGATGTAGCCCCATCATAAATTGAGGAGCATCAGTATTTATTTCTAGAAAAGAAACTTTCCCCTTATTTTCAACACAAACATGACACATGGTCTTCTCCTATTTCCAATCTCTTCAATTTTACTAGACTGGAGAACAATGGCTCTAGACTCTCATTGCAGTAATTGAATTTGACTTGTACACACTGAAAGTTGTGTAATCCTGATAAATTAAGAAATATTTCCTTTTAGCAAATAAGCTTTAACCTCTAACCCACATATCTTTGTATCCAAAAGCAATTGTGAATACCTTAGAGCTTTTGCAGACTACCAGGGAATCCCAAACCCAAGAGTGGTCTCCTCTGACCCCCATCATGTGAGAGCTGAAATGCATGCTCAGACTCACCTGACTTGTTTGGGACTTCATTCATGACCACGAGGGCCCTGTTCTGTAGCAAAGCTCCCACGGCACTGGTAACAGTTGGTTCTTTTTTTGGACCCATCTGAGCCTTACCCTACAGAGAGAGAAAGAAAGGGAGACACAGAGGACACCCTCTGTAACCTCAGGTACCACATAGGAGGTACAGCTGTTCCCCCTTCACCAGCAGCAGACTGCCATCATCTGCAGGGACTCCCTGAGTCCCGAGGAAAGGGACACAAACCCTGCATTTCTGTTAGCTTGGTTCGTGTCCTCCCAGCTGCTGCTCAAAGCCATATCTGGGTTTTCCTTCCCTTTCATAATTAAGCTCTTGGGGTTGCTGGTGGTATGCTTATCCTATAAAATGAGTTGTATGGAGACATAAATCACTTAATGTCAATAAGGATATGGTTAAAGAACATTTTATTTTTTTCATTACATTTGAAGATTATTTTGTTTTTTTAATATGAACAGAGAAGAAAAACAGATTGGCAGGCAGCAAATGTTTTAAGCATGAAATTCCAACATCCCTACGCCATACCCCTCCCTGCAGAGCAGCAGCAGCAGCAGAATAGCTATATTAAAACCAAATAAGGGCCAAAAGGTTTCTCACATGCTCCTTTTACCTTGCTGTTGATTCCACCTCCAGTTCCATGGAAACTGCAGTATAAAGGTAACCTGTTACACCAAGTGAGAATTCTCACTTGGGCAAGAATGGCTGTGAGCCTATAGCAGGCAGCTCATCCCCATCCACACAAAGAAAGCTATTTTTAGAGGTCCATATTGGTCTCTTTTGGTTAAGGGTATGACACATTTTAAAAGTTGATTATGTTTAAAATAGAAACATATTTCGGCTGTGTTGTTAACAGCCCTTCAAAACTGAAACAACCCCTCCCTTCTTGCTCCATTTCTGAATAAGCTTCACTATTAGACAAGGCCCCAAAGGGGTGAAGCTGGCACAAGGGAAACAAATACGGCTGTTCAGATACACTCTACAGCAAGTGAAGGAATGCAGAAAGCAAGCAATTTTTCTTCTGTGTTCCCAATCACCACTCGGCTCTGGAAAACAAGGAGAGGAATGGGGCCAAGTCACTGGTTACACTCAGGACAGCCAGCTGGCCTTCTTCAGGAATAACAACACTTCCGTTTGCTGCTTCCCTGTGCTCTCTTTGGCCCCACTAAAGCCGACTAACTGGTAAGAAGAACCATTCGTAGAAATGTAACACACCCTTTACTGCTTTACAAAATGTAGGTAGACTTATACTTAGAGACTTTTCCATAATTAGGCTGTATTCAAGCCCAAAGTAGTCACATTCCTCCAAAAGTGCGGTGCCAATCGTATCAACTGGAAAAGGCTACTGGAGAAGGGGAGGGTGGGGTAATGTGGAGAGAGGAAGGGAGGAGTCCCTGTGTGCAAGACACTGAGCGGGGCACTTCACTTAACTATACGTTTCCCAACAACTCAGCAAGGCACACATGATTAACCCCATTTTACAGATGAAAACGAATCTCCAAGAATTTACGTAACTCGGCCAAGTTTACCTAAATTATAGAATCGAAATTCAAACCCTGGTTGGGTACGGTGGTTCATGCCTGTAATCCCATCACTTTGGGAGGCTGAAGCAGGCAGATCAGGAGTTCGAGAGTAGCCTTGATAACATGGTGAAAATTTGTCTCTACCAAAATACAAAAATTAGCCAGGTGTGGTGGTGGGTGCCTGTAATCCCAGCTACTCAGAAAGCTGAGGAACAATAATCACTTGAACCTGAGAGGTGGAGGTTGCAGTGACCTGAGATCATGCCACTGCACTTCTGGCCTGGGAGACAGACTGAGACTCTGTCTCAAAAAAAAAAAAAAAAAGAAAGAAAGAAATTCAAACTCTGACTACTGAATGTAGAATCCTGGCTTTTTCTACATTGCACTTCTTCCCATGCTATCTCAGATGACAAGACTGAATCTAGGCCGGGTGTGGTGGCTTATGCCTGTAATCCCAGCATTTTGGGAGGCCAAGGCAGGCAGATCACTTGAGGTCAAGAGTTCGAGACCAGCCTGGCCAACATGGTGAAACCCCATCTTTTCTAAAAATACAAAAGTTAACCAGGTGTGGTGGTGGATGCCTATAATCCCAGCTACTAGGGAGACTGAGGCAAAAGAATCACTTGAACTCAGGAGGCAGAGATTACAGTGAGCCAAGATCGTGCCACAGGACTCCAACCTGGGCAACAGAGTGAGATTCCATCTCAAAAAAAAAAAAAGACTCAATCTATGAAACTATTTATCATAACCACCACCCCTCAACACACATATCTCCTCCCTCCCATGTTCCATTATCTACAGAGATTGTCTTCCTATCTGTTCAGGCTCTGGAGCTGAAAACCTTATAGTCAACCCTGATCCTCTTTTATTCTATGCCTAATCATTTTCTCAGTCTCATCAATTGTTTCTTAGATTCTCCCTCCCACACAACCCTATTAATCCTCCTGTTCTAGGCCCTCATTTTTTCCCTGTTGTGGTGGGTTTTACTTTGTCTCCCATTAATCCATGTGGAATAGTAGTTGCAAAAGTGACCTTTCTAAAAAGCCAGTTGTATGCAACTCTAGTCTCCACTGTTCACCCAATCCACATTGCCTATAGGATGACACATGAGGCCAATTGGACAGACAGGCCAAGAAAGCCAGTCTTCAGAGAGAAGAGAAGGCAGAGTATAGCAGGAGGAGGAGATGGGATGGCAAAGTGCAAAGGAGGACTGCCTGGCTTCCTGAGGACTTTCCAGATCCTGCTTCCAGGCCTGAGGGCCTGGCTGTCCTTGATTTTAGGGCATACATTCAATCAATTCCCTTTTCTTCCTCTCTCAACTGGCTTGAGTTAAAGCCCTTCTATATCTGGCTGCCTATCTTGCCTGTCTCTGTACCTCCTTCATAGGTACGCTATGCTTTCGGTGTGCCCCACCACCCCACAGATGGGTGCCTCCGGCCACAAGTTGGATGTTTTGTGCATAAAGCCCTTCCCAACCCCAACTCTAGGCTGGTGAACCCATTTTGATACTTAAGGGCAAAATGTTTGCTTACCTTTGAAGACTTCCAAGAATTGCAGTGACTTCTTCCATAGCCCTCCTATATATGCTAACTGTACCAGCTCCAAGTCCCCCTCCATTTTTCAATGACAAATTCTTGATCAACCAGTACCCAGCACGGTATCTGGTACATGGTAGATAGTCAATAACTCTCTAATGCTTCTGGGGATAGAGCTCAGGATCCATAGTCTGCGGGATCCGCTTTTGTTGGAAAGGGTCCCACCTCATTAAATACTCAGCTTTCTAAACAGGCTGTAGAGGCTGGGCACAATGGCTTACACCTAAAATCCCAGCACTTTGGGAGGCTAAAGCGGGGAGATCACTTGGGCCCAGGAGTTCGAGACCAGTCTGAGCAACATAGTGAGATCCCACCTCTACTAAAAATACAAAAAAAGTAGCTGGGCGTGGTGGCATGAACCTGTAGTCCCAGCTACTCAGGAGGCTGAGGTGAGAGGATCACATGCAACAGGGAGGTCAAAGCTGCAGTGGGCGGTGAATACACCATTGCACTCCAGCCTGCAATGAGACGTGATTACACCATTGCACTCCAGCCTGCAATAAGACGTGATTACACCACTGCACTCCAGCCTGGGCAACAGAGTGAGACCCTGTCTCAAAAGCAAATAAACAAAAAACCAGTCTATATATATTTGAAGTATTCAGACCAACTTTCATAGCATCTAAGCCATGTCTATGAAACGAATAGTTTTTATGCTGTATTATAAGTATGTCCCTGGGACCTTTGATGTGTATGGAGCTGTTTTCTGGCTCCAGTTCTGTGGTTTGTAAATCTACTATCTTCTACTTCAGGTTGTTATTTAATTGATTTGTACCTAATTATAACAGCTGCTTCCATTCATCCACATATCCCTTTAACTTGCTGATTCTGTGGCTTTAAATAAAAGGCTGAAGACCCCTTCTCTACAGAGCAAAATACATGACCTGTAGGGCATTTGCCTTGTGAGTGAAACTCAGGCAGTTTCACTTCAGATTTGCAATTCTTTTCTGGGTGGTTAAGATTGATAACCATTGTTGGATAAAGAGTTTTTCCGTAATGCTATAGAAACACTATGTATTCAAGTCTTCATCCAAAGAAGCTTCAAATACTCCAGAAATATTTTTTTTCTACAACACCCAAAGATGCCGTTAGCTAGAAAGCATTCCCCTTCAAAAGAAGCCAACTCCCATACGGATGAGTAATAGTGATCAGTTCTCTTTACCCTTACACTTCTTAGAGTAAGTGATTGAGGTTCTCTAGGAAATTCTACCTGCTCACACCAGGCATGCAAGGGCACAAAAGCCAACACCTGGGGAGGGACAGTTACCTGGGCTCTGGATGCTAATTTGGCTGCTGTCTCGGCTGGATTAAAGACTCGGCGAGAAGACTGATCCTTGCAGAAATTAATATGTCGCTTGGCTGCGGTTTCATTGAACCTCCTCATACAATATGGGCATTGAATATAATCTGAATGTAAATACAACAACAAATGGAAATTAACACTTCAAAAACAATTATAGAATGGACTACATGAAGTGAAATAAGGATATGATGGCTCATGCCAGGAATCCCAGCACTTTGTGAGGCTGAGGTGGGTGGATTACTTGAGCCCAGGAGTTTGAGACCAGCCTGGGCAACATGGCAAAACCCCATCTCTACAAAAAATTAGCCAGGTGTGGTGGTGCGTACCTGTGGTTTCAGCTACTTGAGAAAATCGCTTAAGCCCAGGAGGTCAAAGCTGCAGTGAGCTGTGATTATGCCACAGCACTCCAGCCTTGGCAACAGAACCAGAACCTATTTCAAATAAGTAAACAAATAAATATATAAGTAATGATATGAACTCTGCTCCAACATGAAAGAACAAGGTACCAAACTCTGGTTTGAGACTATTCCAAAGGAGGAGACGTGCAAGGGCTCAATTAAAGGACATAGCAAGGAAAAATGTCAGAACCTGTGTATTCATTTCAATTGTCTTCCCTTGAAATGTTTAAGTGATGTAATTTTCCAGAAAGAAAAGATTATACTTTAGAACTTCTCAATGAAATACATTATTTAGTGAATCCTGTGTGAAGAAAGTAGTTCTTGGATCACAGAATATTAGTATTGATGGCACAGAAGGGCAAATTCAAAAGCCTAGGTTGTGGTGCTGGGTGAGTATTACAGAAGTTGTGGAGTTACAGAAGGAGATGAGATGTTTCCAAATGTGGGTTTGGGAGATATGAACGGAGGTCAGTGGCATTGTGTCACTGGTAGAAAGACATACTGCTTTTGCAGTAGCTAGATTTTTTTTCACTTAAATACTAAGTGAGCAGGCAATATATTCAGGAAGGAGATAGCAATAGGATAAAAGGTGAGGGCTTAAAAAATAGAAAAGGGAAAGAAGGAGGGATGATAGGAAAGTGCCACTAAAAACAGCTTTAGCTTCCAGAGATGCAATGGCCCAGGCAGTTCCTGTTGGCCTCAGGTTCTCTGTGGTTCTGTGTTATAGCTTTTTGTCTAAATTCTTCTTTCATTTGCAATTACCAGACATAATTGGCTAGTGAGAGAAGTGAAAAGTGGGAAAGAGCCAAGATCTTCTTAGAACATAGAGCTGCTCATAGCAAAACTAGGTTGCCACCTACCCCTCTAAATCAAGCAGAGATGGGTGTTTGCTTTGTTTTAGGTATCTTAAAGGGATAACACGTTAGATATCAGCAACATAAAATAATGCCCTCCCCCCAGAAAGGTGTGAAACTGCATCAACCTCAAAAACAGTGTACAACTTGTGTTAGTGTACAATCAAAATATCTACATGTGTGGATAGATATTTAATGTAGTGCTGTTAAGAATTTTTTAAGCCACCTTTTTAAGCAGTTTGGGGAGTTTTCTATTTGAACAAATCATTTCCTAAAATGTATACTCATAAAATGTAAGAATTGGTAAGCACTTAGAAATCATCTAGTAGCCTTATCCTTTATTTCTTACTCCAGAAGGCAGTACCTCATCATTAATTTAATACTGACTGAGCATCTACTTGGTGCCAGGTGCTGTTTTACACCTGGGGATGCAATGTCTCTGAAATCAAGGAGTAAGCATTCTGTGACAGAAACAGATAAATAAAAATTTCACACGGAGATAAATGCCTTGAAAAAAAAAATAATAACAGGACAGCATTGGGAAATAATAAAAAGCCCAGCGCTGGAGGTTGCCTGACTGGTTTTGAGCCTGAGTTCTTTACTTGTTATATGTGTGAACTCGGGCAAGTTACCCAACCTCCTTATGCTTTCATTTTCCCAGTACCTACATATCACCTGTTTCATTGGATTGTTGTGAAAGTTAACTGTGATGATGCACATAAAGGCTTGGCACAGTGGGTGGGGTGGAACATACTGAATGTTTTATAAATGCTAGATATTGCTATAAGGAAACAGGTTCAGCAAGGTTGTGATTCCAACTACCAAATAGAAATGAAACTGCCTAGGAAAAAAGTATAATAGCAAGTGCCATTATCATTCAGAATTCACTTACAATGGTTTAAAAGAACCATCTAGAACATGGCTCTTAGATTGGGGTTATTTCTTCATTTTGTCAGCTGGAAAGCCAGTCTTACACAAGAAATCCTGCAACCATAAACCCTACTCACATCAGGCAAAAACAATGATCATGGCAATACTGAGTTGCTTCCTTAAACCCACTTGTTCGTTCACTCGCTGCCACCCTTCTACGTATTTCCATGGAGACAGCAATGCTGAAGTCTATTTCCCCGCCAAGAAAAATCTCAGAGATGCAATTACAGCTTGGTAGGTTAAACTGTAGAAGAGGAGGCACTAGGGCCTCTGGGACCCTACAGAGGGAACATGAGGCCCCACCAGAGGAGCAGAGAGCAGGCAGGAGAGGGTCCTGCGTCTGAGCATTCAAGGTTGCTGGTTGTATTTATGTTGAACTTCACGTATTTTGAGAATTGTTGTATTTTCTGCAACAATCTGAACCCGGCATGATTGAGCTACAAGCTCTACCCTCAGCTCAATTGGAGTCACCTGTCTTCCTCTATCAATAATGTTTTCATAAAATCACTATGTCCTATTTATTTCAATAGGTAATGATTTTAAAAGTCAGAGTACAAATGAATTCTTATGAGGAATATAGTGGCCAGATCTCACAGAAAGGTGGAAAACCAAGCATCATTCTAAAATGCAAATACTGTACTGTGTATCCATGTCTATATGGCCATATAAAATGGTGACTGAATGTCCCAGGCGTCACAGAAAAATAACAATTAGAAATATTCTATATCACTCTCTGCATAAACTGTCACAGTATCCTAGAAATTTAAATCATTAACAGACTTAGCTAAGTCACTATAAAGTAGAATATAGGCATGTCTTAAAAACTAAGTCATGAAAATAGGGAATAATGCTGAGAAAGAAAGGGAAATTACTGGCACATTCATGCAGGTTAGGCCATGTTATAGATAACTCTAGTTGTATGTATATAAATTCTCCAGTACTTAAGCCTGAGAATTCTGGGCTAATGTAAAATCCCTGCATAAACAAAATCATCAAATTGTGGTGAAAATGTTGAGAGTGCATATAATCATTTTGTTTGTTGCATAAAATTACATTAAGGGCACAAGAAAGAAGTTAATTATAAAATTATATGTTAGCATAGAAATACAAAGGGAAGAAAAATAAATTGAACATTTGGTGAGGCCTTGCAAAACAATTTTTTTTTTTTAGAGAAACAATAATCCCCACATTTTAGATCCAAGTCACATTTATATCCAAGTTGGATCTAAAATGTGAGAGAAATTCACACAGCAGGACATCCGACATGGTTGTACTTATTCAATTAAAGAACCATAAGGTAGCCATCAACCCTGTAGTTTCTGATCCTGAAATGAATATATTTCTCATAAAAGATGTTTTTTGTTACATGAAACTTGTTGCCAAGGTACTTACATGATTACTAAAATCATAGCACATATCTTTCTACTGAATATCTTAAAACAATACATTATTTAAGATATATTTTCATTAGCACACAATAACACTGAAGCAAATATGAGGATTATTTTCTGGTATAGAAGCTCAGATGATTTATTTTCCAGATGATTTCTAGTAAGATTATACTGTGGCTTTTTGCTTTTGCACTTTCCTAAATGGTCTTTTTTGAGGAATAATTTACACACAACTAAATGTGCCTATTTTACACGTACAGTTCAATGAGCTGTGACAAATGTATGCATTCGTAACCAACCCAATTAAAATATAGAACATTTTCATCACCCCAGAAATTCCTTCATGCCCTCTTTCAGTCAATATTTTGCAAAAGCCAGTCTCAAGCAACCAATTATCCATTTCCTGTTACTATTCATAAGATTTCCCTGTCCTATAAGTTCATATAATAGAACATCCATGTTGCTGCATGTATTTCCTTCTTATTGTTGAGTACTAGTACATTTGTAAATATTCCACAATCTGTTTATCTATTCAGTTGTTGATAGACATTTTCAGTTGTTTCTAGTTTATGCTATATAAATAAAGCTAGTCAAGTAAATCTTTTTTATGGACATGTTTTCCTTTTTTGTATAAATATCAAGAAATGGAAATGCTGTATAGGCTAAGTGCATATTTAACTTATTAAGAAAATACCAGTGTAAAGTGGTTGTACTATTTTATATTTCTATCAGCAGTGTATAGACTTCCAGTTGGTCTACATCATAGCAAACACTTATAGCATCGCTCTTCTTTTATCGTTTTTGAGACAGAGTCTCGCTCTGTCACCCAGGCTGGCGTGCAGTAGCACAATCTCTGCTCACTGCAAACTCTGCCTCTAGGTTCAAATGATTATCATGCCTCAGCCTCCCAAGTAGCTGGAATTATAGGAGCGAGCCACCATGCCCAGCTAATTTTTTTGTATTTTTAAGACAGACAGAGTTTTGCCATGTTGGCCAGGCTGGTCTTGAGCTCCCGGCCTCAAGATAATCTGCCTAACCTCGGCATCCCAAAGTGCTGGGATTGCAGGTATTGTATTGTCAAGTTTCTAATTTTAGCCACTGAAGTGGATGTGTAGTGGTATCTCATTATGGTTTTTAATTTGCATTTTCCTAATAAAAATGATGTTGAGTATCTTTTCATGTGCTTATTGCCTATTATTTTGTGATATGTCTGTTCAAATACATCTCTTGAGCTTCTCTGATTGGGCTGGCTCCTTATTATTGAGTTTTCAGAGTTCTTTATATGTTCTTGATATGAGTTCCTTGTCAGATATACATATTATGAATATTTTCTCCCAGTCTGTAACTTGCCTTTCCATTTTTTTTTTTTCTATATTGATCATTTCCTCAGATCCAATCCATTTTCTTAAGTGTCAAACTGAAATTTTTAATTTTGGTAAGGCCCAATTTACTAATTAAAAAAAAAATTATTAGTGGATTTTGTGTCCTCCCTGGGAAATCTTTGTTGAACTTTAGTTGTAACAATTACATT